GACCTTTTAATGGATTTGACGAAATCGCCAGCGGAGGGATTACGCATCCGCTCGAGGAAATCATGCGGCCCCAAGAAGACGGTAGTGTTCTCCATCGGAGATCACTCGATTCCGGACGATCGACGGTCAATCAAACTTATATCTCCGACGATTGACCAGCTAGACACAGAGAACAGTTGGAAAGCTGAGTTGTTTGCGCTGACTACGAACAAAAATGATGGTCGTTTTGGTAAGTAGGTGAATCTGGTTCGGTCTGAACCGGTTATTGGTCTTGGTTTTATTGCATTGATGAATCTTCTTAAATGGTTTTTTTTTTTGCTTGGTTAGTGCAATATTCATCAATTTAGCCCTGAATATTGAATCAAATATTTACAAACAAAAAAAGAAGTTATACTGTCTTGTTCACAAGTGTTTTGGGGAAACGTCATATAAAAAACAATTTTGAAAAATATTTTACAATCGGTTTAGTAATTCGTTTTTACAAAAGTAACGATTCTCGTGATAGACTAAAATCATATTTATTGAATTACGATTGTTAAACCGCAAAAATCTAGATTAAAATATGCAATATTTAATCGATTATAATCGATATAAAGTTCAAAAAGAAAGTGTAAGATGAGATCTCTTACATAAATGAGTACATTCAGAGACAATTACAATCAAATGTAAACAAGACTTGGATAAAAAAACGCCATCAATAAAGGTTGTGGTGTTGATGATGAAGAATCCTTAAAGATTTTCATATATGAGAGGTTCTCAGACCACTGCCATCATCCCATAGAAATACAAATGTGCATATCAAAACTCTAAAATAATAAAACTTACATTGTTTTGGTAAACTTCCTCTATAGGGGTCCGATAAAGAATATGTGGCTTAATATGTCGAAAGAATTATCGAATCAGACTTGGTTGTGATTTTAACCCTTGTCGAGAGTATATATACATATCCTCGCATGGTTGGTCTTTTGAAACTGCGGATAACACTTGAGGCTTGAGTCGAAATGGCAGATTGTTCACCCAAATATCATATTCGGATCAACTCTTTCATGTATATGTTTATATTTCTCTTATTTTGTCTTTCATCTCAATTTATTACTAATAATTGTGTGTGTGTTTTAATGTCATATGATATAATTTACGACAAACTAAACTTTATCATCGCTTTTCTTTACTTCACTAATGTTTACATCACCAAAATAAAGATTAATCACATATTTTATCTTTGATGTTTTTCATTATGAGACTATTCAACAACCAAAATATGGGACATTAAAATTTTCTATGTCTTCAAAGATATTGATGGAACTCGATTGCTATAAGTATTACCACATTCTTGAGGAAGATGGGCTACATTGAGGTTGTTGAAATTTTTGTTTTGATTGCCAGCACAATCTTGTAGGGGTAAAACTATTCTAAATATCAACATAATCGACGTTCCAAAGCACATGAAAAGACATTGCAAACAAACAAATTATTGCGGAAATGGTTTCTTAGATTTTAACAACTTATTCAGTTTTTTGAGGTTATGTCATTAAGTTGATAACATGATAAATCAACTTTAAATGGACACTTCTCGAACGCGAACAAGCAAAACTTCAATATCGTCCTAACACATAAGGTTAACACATCACCTTGTTTGAAATAATATTTAGCAACAAAAAATTATCGTTGGAGCTAGCATGTGTGCTTCATAATATACATAGTTGGTATTATGATTAACATTCAGTACCGTATGATTTACATGATCTGACATGAAAATAAAAGCTAACACTCCCAACTATCTTGTGGTAAAATTTGAGCTTAATCCAATGGTGGAGATGTCTTCATATGATGTGAAATATTTGATATTCGAAACTGTCTAATCTCCAAAAACAATGTTTTGTACTCTCTCCGTTTCAAAATATAAGTTATTTTAACTAAAAGTGCGAATATTAAGAAACTACTTTTCTTCTTAAAAGTATCATTTTATATATATAATAAAAATAATTTAACTACTGAAAA